ATGATTTCAGAGCCAGACGCTCTCTCCTCCCTCTGTGGTGACAATGGTAACCTTTCCCTGCTTTTTCTTTCCATCTTGCAGACCTTAACAGAAAGTTATTTCCTTGGTACAGAAATTGTTAACATAGTTTAGAAAGCTCTGAAATGATATAATTCACTCTTGTATTACAAATTTCATGTTTTGAAAGTTCTTTCTATGAAACTCTATTGCATTTCCAGAGTGCTGCATTGCTTTTAGTCCTGTTAAATTCCAAAATGTCTTTGATATAAGAGTTATGCAACAGAGTAGGGATTTTTTTTCCTCAGTTGCCAATTTATCTCTTCAGTTGATTTTCAAACTGGGCTGAATCTATAGCTATGAACTTCTACAAAGAACCAGGTTAAGATTTGTCTTTGGGTAGCTAATGTAGTTAGACGTTTTTGAGAAAAAGGAATGAGAAGTGGTCATTATCCATTATCTGCATGAAATATTTCAGAGAAAGAAACAGCTTCTGCCAAACACAAAAAGTTGTTTGAGCTGAAGCCAGACAAGAAGGAAACAAGATCACCTTATAGTACTCTGAGATTGCTCTACTAATGATGTTATTTCAAGTAAAACTGGAATATATATATGAAGAAGTGCAGATGGTGCATGGATTTTACATGGATTAGCAGTGTTGTTCTGGACAATGATTCACTGTCCCTTTTCTTGGCAGAAAATAAATTTTCCAGTCTTGGAAAGAAACATGTACATATATATTTTAAGAAATGTTTCTCTATATGGAAAAAGAGCAAATTTGAGTGAAAATAGCATCCACTGGTGGAAAAGTTAGCAGTCAGAATGAACACTTTAAAAGAAAAGGTGTATTCACACTCTACAATTCAAGGTCAGAAGTGATGTATAACGTGGTGCAAATTATAGGTTAGTTCAGCATGCGAGGGCCTGGAAGTCAATATTGGATTCAACATCCCTGGGAGCTTAGCTCAGTGCTGTCTGCATAGTAGGGTCAAGGCTTCAAGGTGGATGTGGGTGGAGTTTTAGACCCGTAAGTTCAAAAAACAGTTTTTGCAGGTTTATTAACTGGATGTGCTTTCTTTTAGTTACTCTCTAGAAACATGCTAGAAATACCTAAGAAAATGTTATCTTTTGAAGAATAAAGAATCAGCTGTCTGTTGCAACCCTTGCCCTAGAGAAGCAGATTTCTTGAGTTACCAAGAATCCAATCACAAAGGCACAGAGGGAAATTTTTTAAAAAGTTAAAACATTTTAGAATTGTATTTATGACTATTACCCATATGATAATATTATCCTTACTGATGTCATAGTTTTGACGTACACTATCTTGGGATCAATCAGCACTAAAACCAAATATTGTATTTCCATTTAGGAAGCCATAAATTGCTTCCATTCAATGCTCTGAAGCTCCTGGGTTTTGTCCAGTCTTCAAGACAGTGAAATTTCAGTGTCTCAGTTCTTCAGGACTGCACATTGCCCATCTTACATCTCTGCCCGGGCCTGTTTAATTTCAGTGGGAAAAATTCTCATCTGGGAAAAGGAGGAAGCATTCATCTGGCTATTGAGTTTGGATTTCCTTAATTTTATTATTTTTTCCTGTAAGACAGCTATATATGAGCATCTCAGAGGTTTGGAATGTCAGAATAAACCTGGGGGAAAACTGGTGGGAAGAGAACAGGTCACTCAACAATTTATTATATGGACATTAGTATGATGTGCAAAATTTATGTTACTTATTACAGACACTGCATTTAAAGCATGTAGGTATACAGGCTTGAGACACCCTTTACTTACAAAATAAATAATGCAAAGTCCACTTAAATTAATGTTATTTCTGTTAAATAGCTACATCAGTTCATATCAAACTTCATGTCCAATGAAATCTGGCTGAAAACCACTGTTGGAAGGACACATGCATTTCTTGTACCCGAGGTTGTCTGCACAGAAGAGGTCTCCACTGTCCTCCTAACGCCCACAGCAATTTAAGTCATTTAAATAAATGGAAATGGTTTTACAAGTAGGATACTGAAACGCATTTTCAAAGCTGCCCAGAACCCTTAACCATTAAAATGGACCTGACTAATGGTTTTGTGAAATTTGATGGTGCTTTCTAATAAGTTACTTTTACCACTTTCATAAGATTGTGTCTGTATAGACACAAAAAAAGAGGATTTCTCAGCATGAGTGACTCTTCTGTAAAGGTTATAGTAAACATGTCAATGCCTAATTAAGCAGAAAATTTTATCTGTATTGTGGGGGATGTGCAGCTGTCTGGTACTTCTGCTTCTCCTAGTAAATGCTTTTAGAATGACAAAGGATATTGTGAGGAGGAAACTACTGTATGTATCTTCCAAAGGAAAAAATTACCTTCTGGTGAAAAATGGGTTAATAGTATTCAAAGAATTGGTGCTGAAATGGAGAATCAAATTTGCACCGACCCAAAACCGTGTGAATGCTATTTGTTGTCTGTTTTGTCTGATTCCTTCATTGGATTCCCTCCTTATTTTTGTTTTGCTCGGTGTAATATGCTTGGCACTGTGATACATCCTGGCGAGGGGCCAGCGTCGCTACCTACGCTGTACAGTATCTCTGACACCGCGAGAACCATGTCAGTCCTGCTCATCAGTTCGTGCTGCTTGTTTAACAAGGTTACTGCTCATGACGTGTAGGAGCCTTTGCCACCTCCATGTCCCTCCGTTGTCCTTGTCCCCCTTGAAAAACATGCAAGCTCAGAAAAGGGTACATGGAAAGTATTATCTGGTTATTAGGGAAGAAGTTTTGGGAGGAGAAAAAAATATTTTGTTCTTAGTGTGTCTGCTGCCTGCCTCAGTCTGATCATCTGTAAATGGGGCTACTAACATTTGCGGTATCCCAACACACTACTAAAAGGCTTAATTTTTTATATTGAACACTTAATATTTAGCTTCTTTGCTGAAAGCATCTGCTGAAGAGCATAGTATTCCTACTACTATGTGGTTATTATTTTATAACGCTAAAATGGTGTCCAGGTCATTTGCTCATAGCCACGGCCATTTTCTTTACTTCTGGCTGTGAAGCTGCCTGGTATCGCCCCTGGAGTAAGCCATGCCCAGCTCTAACTAGTGTGATCTGTGCAGATCCTAAAACCATGGGAAGGACATAGGAAAGAACTTGCATGGGTTTCTTAGCCCATGCACAGAGAGATATATCATTTCCCTTTTCTTCTACTGCAGCTTCATCCAAGAAACAGTTCCTCTAGTTCCAATTCATCTCTTTGGTTTGATGGTAAAGATGTCTTGGAAGGGGTGAGATAGATACACTCCCCTGATCCCCCTTTTAAGTTCTTCTTAAAAGTAAATAGATTGAAAAATTGAAACACATATCTGAAAAAACTGTGGAAGGCTTTGTCCATATGTTAATCAAAATGCTTCTACTTTTTCTGCACATCCCTTCTGACTTGCTAAAAGGATATCATTTGTGCAGCAGTACCAAATTCAAGAGAGCAAAATAAGCTAGGTTCTCAAAGAGCCATAAAATTGATTTTCTTAGAAGATGGGAAGGAATTGGATTTTAAACAAATAACATCTTTAGGATTATTTACCTTGTGCTTTCTGAGGTTTTAGGGTTACTTCACGATTATGAGTACTAGAGTTTTATTTTATTTTTGCTTAGTTATTTTTAAGGGCAGCTTTGATTTGGGGGTTTTGGCATTTTATTCTTTTTTTCCATACTTACCTGACCAAACAGCTTGATCTTAAGCAAACACAACGAAGTACCCCTGAGACCGCAGTGCAGTCACTAGGGTTAGCAGCTCTGCATTTGCACCTGACTGGAAGAGCTGATCAACATATGTCCCATGAAGACCTGTGCTTCTGAAATCAACATTTAGCTTTGATGAGTGGCTGCCAATAACAGTGAATTCTTTCAATGTCTTCTTGCATTGTGCATAACAGCTTTGCAGTGGCTGTTAAAAAAATAACACTGGGGTTTTGTGAAAACGTATCTGAACCACTTGTTCTTCTCCATCCCTTCTTGTGGGGATCTGGGAGTGAATTGCTGACTGTGTTGAGTCATTGTGAATTTATCCACTGACTGCAATGGAGCCAGTTCACCCTTAAAAATTCTCTTCTCTAATTCTTCAGTCTGTTTTTTAACCAGGTTACCTTCTGTAACTTAGGCAGAATTACTAGTGATAAAAAAAAAATTCCTTAATTAATTTTAAAATTTACAGCTCTTCCAGTATCAGGTTAATTGCATAATTAAATAGTTAATTTGTCAAAGAAAATCTTTCTGGACTTGTTCTACTTTTCCAGTTTTCCAGTTAACTTTGGTCTACCTCTGTCACATGCTAATACTCTTCTGTAACTTCCAAGGGTTCTTGCCCAGAAATGTATGCATTTGTTTTTATTGAAGCACAATTTGCTTTTATGGTACAAAATACGTTACTTTTATAAACAAAAGAGTTCCACTTATGGCTATTAGTGCTTTCAGATGTTGTATTTGGACATAAATTATATGTGTAAATATGTAAAATTTATATGTATATATTTATTTGTGTACATTCTGAAGTACATTTTTAGGTGATCCAATGGCAAAAGATTACAGTACCTAGATGGTGCTATGAACTAGGAAGATTATGGCAATTATTTTTCTTCTGTTCCTTACCAACTCTACCCTTTCTCTCGCTGAGGCTACAAAAAAATTTATGTAATTGAAGATTTTAGTATAAACTTTAAATTCTTAAATATGAATTTTCCAACTGTCCCAATACAGGACAGGTAGAATTATACTCCCATGACAGGAAAATTATTAAGTCAGAATCTCTGGCAGTTATAAAGAATTATGATCATCCACCAATAAAATGCAGCAGCCTTCACAAAAAAAGACAACATTTGGCTTTTTTCACTTACAGGGAATAAAGTTGTAGATTAAAACTAAGTCCAGAAAAGAAAACACATAGTGAAACTAGAAAGCTTGAACTGTAGTATTCTCCTTTTACAAGTTATTTCATATATTGACATTACATTTCAGGTTACGTCCAAGAGGAAGATTTAAAGGAAGAGGAAGATATAAAGGAAGAGGAAGAAGATGATGATGACAATAACTCAACTGCTCACCTCCAAGGCAGCAATGACACTGGCACGGATGAGGAACACGAAATGGGTCCTGAGCAGAAAGGGAACTTTAGTTACCAGAATTCCCCTGTCAGTCATATATCTAACCAGGATGCAGAAAACGAATCACTGCTAAGTGATGGTAGTGACCATGTGGCAGATATTAAAAGCATTTGCTCTAGAGAGCCACAGGACCCAAAAAACAGCACCCATCCCAAAGCCCAGAACGAAGCACACAATTGCATGGATAAAATGACAGCGGTCTATGCCAACATACTGTCAGACTCTTATTGGACAGGCTTAGGGCTGGGTTTCAAGTTGTCTAACTCTGAGAAGAGGAGTTGTGACAACAGAAATGGAGGGAACAAAGCTGATTTTGATTGGCACCAAGACGCACTGTCAAAAAGCTTACAGCAGAATTTGCCTTCCAGACCTGTCTCGAAACCCAACCTATTCAGCTCCGTCCAGCTCTACAGGCAGAGCAGCAAAATGTGTGGAACTGTGTTCACGGGCGCCAGCCGGTTTCGGTGCCGGCAGTGCAGCGCTGCTTATGACACATTGGTAGAACTAACGGTTCATATGAATGAGACAGGTCACTACCAAGATGACAACCATAAAAAGGACAAGCACAGACCTACCAGCTACTCAAAGCCCCGAAAAAGGGCTTTCCAGGACATGGACAAAGAAGATGCACAAAAAGTTCTGAAATGTATGTTCTGTGGTGACTCTTTTGATTCCCTTCAAGATCTGAGTGTTCATATGATAAAAACAAAACATTACCAAAAAGTGCCTTTGAAGGAGCCGGTACCAACCATTTCTTCAAAAATGGTCACTCCAGCAAAGAAACGTGTGTTTGATGTTAACAGGCCTTGTTCACCCGATTCCACAACAGGGTCTTTCTCAGATACTTTTTCTCCTCAGAAGAATGCCAACCTGCAGTTATCATCTAACAACCGCTACGGCTACCAGAATGGTGCCAGCTATACGTGGCAGTTTGAGGCCTGCAAATCTCAGATTTTGAAGTGTATGGAATGTGGAAGTTCCCATGATACCTTGCAGCAGCTCACAACACACATGATGGTCACTGGCCATTTCTTGAAAGTCACAAGTTCAGCTTCGAAGAAAGGAAAGCAACTTGTTCTGGATCCTTTAGCTGTGGAAAAAATGCAATCACTGTCTGAAGCACCAGCCAATGACAGTCAGGTTTCAAAATCAACCAGTAAATCATCTGCAGAATGCATAGCTCCCACCTCTGAACTAAAAAAAGAAAGTAAAAAAGATAAAGCTGATGATGCAAACAAAGATGAGAAAGCAGTAAAAACTGAAGAGTATGAAGACGCTCTTCAGAAACCACTGGATCCCACAATGAAATACCAGTACCTCAGAGAAGAAGATTTAGAAGATGGTTCGAAGGGTGGTGGGGACATTTTAAAGTCCTTGGAGAACACTGTCACAACAGCCATCAATAAAGCTCAGAATGGAGCGCCCAGCTGGAGTGCCTATCCCAGCATCCATGCAGCTTATCAGCTCTCGGAAGGAGCAAAGCCGTCTTTGCCTGTGGGTTCCCAAGTACTGCAAATCAGGCCAACAATCACCAATAAATTGAGGCCCATAGCTCCAAAGTGGAAGGTCATGCCTCTGGTCCCTATCTCAGCAAATGTGGCCCAGTGCACTCAAGTGAAGAAGGAAATTGATGATAAGGAGGAGGTACAAAAGGACTATGCTAAAGAGGGCAACCAAGCCGAGCCTGCCTCACTCAGTCAGAGCGAGAGAGAACCTCTCCTCAAATCTGAAGCCTCTGTGGAGCCAAAAAAGACAGAACCATGTCCCTTGAAAGAAGACGACAAAATTAAAGAGGACAGCGGAAAAGAAAAATCAGTCCTCAAGGAACCAACAGCTGCTTCTCTTAGTAATGGTTGTGCTGCTGCCAACCATTCGTCTGAACTGCCTTGTGTCAACCCTCTCAGTGCACTGCAGTCAGTACTGAATAATCACTTGGGCAAAGCCACTGAGCCTTTACGGCCTCAATCCAACTCCAGCCCTAGCTCTAGCACAATTTCTATGTTCCACAAACCTAATCTAAACATGATGGAGAAGCCTGTTTTATCTCCTGCTCCAACCCCACCAAAGCCTGCAAGTGTATCCAGGCACTATTTGTTTGAAAACAATGATCAGCCTATTGACCTGACCAAATCCAAAGGCAAGAAAGCTGAGTCTGCTCAAGCACAATCTTGTACTTCTCCACCTCAAAAACATGCTCTGTCTGACATTGCTGACATGGTCAAAGTTCTTCCCAAAGCTACTACACCAAAACCAGCTGCATCTTCAAGGATCCCATCTATGAAATTGGAAATAGATGTCCGACGCTTTGAGGATGTCTCAACAGAAGTGTCCACTCTGCATAAAAGGAAGGGCAGACAGTCAAACTGGAACCCTCAGCATCTTCTCATTTTGCAAGCTCAGTTTGCTTCCAGCCTCTTCCAGACATCTGAAGGTAAATATTTATTATCAGATCTAGGCCCACAAGAGCGCATGCAGATTTCAAAATTTACTGGACTGTCAATGACCACCATCAGCCATTGGTTGGCAAATGTCAAGTATCAACTTAGGAAAACCGGAGGAACAAAGTTTTTGAAAAACATGGACAAAGGACATCCAGTCTTTTATTGCAGCGACTGTGCATCTCAGTTTCGAACCCCATCTACTTACATTAGCCACTTAGAATCTCATCTAGGTTTCCAAATGAAAGACATGAACAGACTGGCTGTGGAGCAGCAAACCAAGGTAGAGCAAGAAATCTCCAGAGTTTCAGTTCAAAGATCTCCTGAAACAATAGCTGGAGAAGAGGACACAGACTCTAAGTTCAAATGTAAGTTGTGCTGTCGGACATTTGCGAGCAAACATGCAGTAAAACTTCATCTAAGCAAAACACACAGCAAGTCACCAGAACACCATTCACAATTTGTAGCAGAAGTGGATGAAGAATAACTCTTAAGGTATGCATGCTCTATAGCGAGTTTTAATTTCATCATTTTAAGGAGGCTTCGTAAGACATTCGTACTTTCTTGAATGTAGGAAAAGAGTATAAAATGCGTAATGTACTCCTGCTTCATTAATCTAATTGCATTTACATATCCATTGTATATTGTTTTCAAGAACAGAGCTTGGTAAATACATAAGCACATTGCCCTGTATAGAAAAGTTTCTTCTTATTAATGTTTTCAAAATAGCTGTTTTCCCAGTTCTGTCTTTTTTGTTTCTAAGAATTAATCTTTTCATGTTCTATGCGCTTCAATGTGGAGTGCAATAACTAAATGCTACTCTTTGCAATGAGAATGGAAAAAGCAGAAAAAACGCACTGAAAACCAAAAGATTATTACCTTGTACAGTGCTAGCACACCAGGAAATCTGATTTTGATGGGGAAAAGGAAGACAATTAAAATAAAAATCTTAATTATTCCAATTTTCTCATAATCTCAAACCCGGCCTCAAGAATCTACAAATAACCCTGAAAAGTTTATACCTAGAAGTTCAGTTATTCTTTTCTTGATATTTGGATATTCAGTTTTGTAAAACATTGTAATATTTTACACTTACTTCAAACACTTACTATCATGAGTGGCCTTTTTTGTCACATTATTTTAACCTATCTCTCCATCATTACTTTTTTAATCTTTGAGATGTTTGATTATATTTTGTTTCATGTTGGTGGGAGTGCTAGTCAATCCATAAACATCACGGACTTCAGTGCAAGTTTTTGTATAACCTGAGGGGGTTAATGCTTAATTGAGGAAGCAGCTAGATTTTTTACAAGCTTAATATTTCAAAGACTTGTTAGAAGGATACTTCTACATTAGTGTTGCTATTTTTTGCTGAAAGATACACCAACCGAAGTATTGCCACAACCAATGTTTATAACATGTAATGTAATATTCAGATGACACAAAATTTTTGCATTTTTAGTTCTACTTGATTCACAAACTTGAATGTTCTTGATTTAAATAAATATGCAGAACATCAACTAAAAGTCCAAATAGAAGTTTTTTTTTCCAACGAGTTTATTTCCAGCAAGACTCTATTAGTCATTCCCAACAATTTCTCCAGCAGACTCAGGCTCTGCTTCTGTTCACAGAATAATCATGTGCAGATTCAGATTTTCTCCAACATGTTCATTACTTGAATAACATTCAGAAAATGAATTCGTCAGACAGTCAAAATTAAAGATGTGTTGTGAGTTGTCACTTAACGCCACCTGCTATTGTGGCTATTCTCTGGCTAATTGAGGGTGCAAGCACTTTGAGGATGAATACCCGTTTGTGTGAAGATTTCACATTTGTTTGCTGCAAATATTCATGAAACACTTTCTGTGTACAGAGCCTGCACAAGGACTATGCATCACTTAAGCTCCATTAAAAAGGCTACTTTTGAATAATTTAAACCACTAATCAAAGGGTTACTTCGGGATGGGTAATAGAAGCTATTACTATAGAGTATAACGTCAGTATTCAAGTGCAATAAGATTCAAGTTTTGCATATATCTTGTACGTGCTGTCTGCATTTGACTGGATTTATCCTTTCTGCATATTTTAGCCAGCAGAATTCCATCTAACTCAAAAGGAGTTTGTTTTCTAAACAGGGCTAATACCCTTAAGTTTCTACTTCGGCATTTTTAACCCAGCATTAGAACTCAACAAATAAATGTTCCTTTTTTATCTGACCATTCAAAGTCAACATACCTGACAAAATACCAGAAAAATACAAGAGATTGGTTAGGAAACAATACCTTGTTTCCTTCCCCATCAGCTAATGATTATTAAGACTCTGACATTCATAGTTTTCACACAAGAGATATCAGAGCAAACCAATAATTTGGATACTATCAAACAAAAGCTATCTGCCAAATATATTAATATAAGAGTTATTTTGGCACATTCATGGCTTGATACATGACAAATATTTCAGATTTGGTCTTAAAAGCACCATGTTATTACTAAGAAGCAAACCAAACACCCACCTTTATAAACATGTTACTATTTCTTAGGATTTGGGGAACAAATACAAAGAAAAAAATCTCCCCGGGGAAAAAAAAAGTGGTTTCTGCATTGTAATAACCTACAGAAACCCATTGCGGATATTATTCAGGTGATGTGTAACTACATAAATAAGGTAGTGTCCTTCCTGCCTTTGGGTACCGAGAAATTGCTGTCCTCTTAATACTCATCCATTTCTAATTTATATCAAGATGCAGGTTCCATCTCACCTTTGAAAAAATACATTTAAATTGCAATGACAGAGTGATAGCACTGTTATCTGGAACTATAATTTTAGTTGGTATGCATGATAACACAAATTGTATGAAATGATGGGGTATTTTGGATAGCATTCTAAAGATTTTATTACAGTTTTGGAGTGTAAGCCTACCAAAGTTCTGACTATGTTAGAAGTGTGGAGGCCAAAGTTTTTTCATATGCTTTCTTCCTGAGATCTGCAAGGAGACTAAATCAAATGACAGGGATTTTCAGAGTTTACTTATTCTTACCATGTTATTTTTAAGGTTCAGTATACATTTGAATAATAACAGAGAGGAGAGAACAGTATTTAGAAACAAGAAATATAAAGCATACTGGGATTCTTAAGTCGTGCACATGCATTTACATTTGCTTCTTCTAGGCGATATTGTAGTGAAATAGAAACAAAAATAGAGAAAATATACAGAAATAAATGGAAATAAAACAGTGGAATGAGTCCTCAAAGTATAGAAATACATAAAATACTTTCTATATTTCAATGAAATTTACTATTAAAGGTTATATTTTAAAATGTTAGCTATCATTAAAAATATAAATGAATAATATGGGTTAGTACTGTAGAAAAATATTTTATGTATATGGATTTATTTTTAAGATATCTATGAGTCTGTTTATAAGAAATGTGCTATAAATTCTTCTTAAATGTAAAGATGTATATATCTGTTTTATATTCATCTTTAGTGTTTTTTTTAAATTCTTCTAAGTGATATGAGTTTGGTAATATAATGTAAAATTATGTGTAATATACAACAATCAGACGTCTCTATTCTCTTTCATTTAACCCACTTCAAATTTGTTTTTATTGCTATTCTTCAAAGAAAACCCATGAACATTAGGGAACATGGCTTTAATTAGAAGTAATTTGTATGTTGACTTATACCTTTGAGCAACATTTGTTCATTTTTTTAGCTAAATTGGAATTTTTATGTTGTCCTGAGAAAAAAGACAAGGCAGAATTGTATTTCTCACTTTAATGTCAGGTGAGATTGGCTATAAACCGGTCGGTAACTGAGGCTCTCTGTGGTCTTATCTACAACTTTTGATAGAAATAAGTCTCTATAGAGTCAGATTTACCAACTTGATTGGGGAGATTTCTTTTTCAAAAGACCATGATAAGTAAACAAGCAGCTACCTGAGATGAACTAATTTGAAAGTAAGGCTGCTGCAAAGCGAAAAAAAATGAGTCATAATGATAAACAGTTTTTCTCTCTGTTTCCTCCTTTGTCTTTTTTAACCATCAAGTTTAAAGCTTCTACAGTGCTTTTTTTCTACTTTATAGGAGACAACTGACATTCTGTGGTAAATGGAAGAAAGAGCAGAGCAGAACTGAAAATCCTCTAATGCACTGACACTAACTTGCCCTCTATTGTTGAAAATGAGCAGGCAATCATGATTGTTCATCAAATGGCTCCTAATGCAGTTAAAGCATTCAGCTATAATTTCTCCTTGCATTTATAATTACTGTCATAGACTGCACACCTCAGTGAGCAGATTAAAGCTATAAACTATTTAGCCGTAGCTTTAAGATGAGGAACTTGATTTGTCTGGCAGCAGTTATTTGTTAGAGAGCTTGACACTTCACATAAAAATGACTCAACTTGATGAAGAACAATGCAGTTTAAGCAATGCAGTGATTTTAAATCAGTCATTATACCACGCCCTGTAAGAATTGCAAAGCAATTTGTTAAATGATATATAGGGCACATAGATAACTGTATGTGTTAAGTATACCAAAATAGAAGATTTTTTTCTTCTGTGGATTTTATTTTCTCATCCCTCTGAAACAGCAGGAGCTGCTCTGAACATCATGTTCCACTATTAGCCAATATTGGTGTTACATGGGCAAGGACAATTGCATGAATTACTAGTCCAAAACTGTATTTTAGAGCATTTAGCTTACTCTTCATCTTTCATTTCTTCTTAGCAACAAACATTAAAAACTGAAAGACCCTTTCAGGAGAATCAAACATGCTGGGACATAGCTGCCTGCAGCTGTGTCCACCACGATATTGTAAGCAGAATTTACCAACAAAACTGAAGGTTCTGCTCACCACACCATCAGCCAAAAAAAAGGGGTACATCATAATGAAAGCCTTGATTATTCGGTTTGAATGGCACTTTTCTGACCTCTTGTTGGAAAATTATGACTTCTCAATGGTAAAAAAATTCCGTGGGGAAGCCCCATTTTAAGATAGACTTTTGTTGGGATAAACTGGGTAAAATTGCTAAGCACCATGAAGGAAAGAATAGGAGACAGGGGAAGAGGAAGAGGAATAGGTTATCCTTTCCACTGCACTGGAGGAGAGACATAGAGCCCAACCTCGGCAAGGCACTACCTCCAACCCATCATTCCTCCCTCAAAATAGTCCTGTTCTGATAAAGCCTCAGTTCCCCTAATCGTTTGAAATTTATCACTGTCTCCCCAAAGTGGTAGATCAAGATATTTTCTTAATTTAGCATTTTTAAATCTTCCAAATTTTCCTGGATAGCATTTATTCAATCTAGCTGTACTCCTTGAAAAACCAGTAATAGTGTGTTCCTGACTTCCCTGAGAGCAGGGTCAGGCCAGATGATACATCAGATTGTGGCAGCACAGATATATCAGTGCAGATTTACTTGCTTTTTATGAATACTACAGGTTGCTATTAAGATCAGTATTATTTAACATTGCATTAGCGC